TTTTTTTTTTTTTTACGCATAAAATGGCGCGTAGTATGTTCGATGTGATAAAAATTCTGCTCGATCTTTAAAAAAAAAAAACAAGTGTTACAAAGTGGATACGAGGTTAAACAAGTGTCTCGCGTGCGTTTAATGGAAAATTAAACGGGGAAATAAAGTCGTAATTTCTGCACTCACGTGATCTGTGGTTTCTTCTCTCGCTGATTAGACGTGCGTCGTGTATAAACGCGCACGACTAAGTATAAACAGGGCACAGCACACTTAAATACGCACTGGCGCACAAAAACAAGCGGAGATCGCGTTGCGATAAACTGGATTTAAATGGCCACTGGGGAGAGAGAAAGAAAGTTAGACCGCGAAACAGTCGCGACACAAACGGAGAACGACACTCGCGAATGTACCATCATAATCGAGACAGCCAATTCATATGCGAATTGAATTTCATCCACTTGTTTGCAAAGAAACATTCGTTCGTAGCCTCTCTACCACCGAGAGAATTACTTACAGAGAATAAATTATACGGTAAGACTGTAAATTACACGGATTTCGCTCTTGTACGCTTTGCATCGTTCTTCTTGCAGATTATCATTGAAAATCCGTCAAGCTGTCCAACGCTTTACAACGACGTGTTCCCTGTCAACAATTGATCCGGAATGAAATTCTCCGAGCAAATAATTCATTAATAATGAAAAAAAAAAAAAATGAAACTCTCGTGCATTCACGAAACGCACACGCAACCCGCAATCCGCAAAAGTTCAAAATAAAGAAATTTCACGGAAGGGAGTACACGAGCAATGGACCGATCTGACAGGCTCGTTCGACGTGGAAATCGAACAAGAGATATCGAAGGGCATTCTATCGACTCGCAGATGAACTCGAACCGTCTCGATTGTGGCTGGAGTTTTCGGCACGCGCGACGAGTGATTTTCAAATGCAGGACGTGGCACGAGCGCAGAACACGCGCATCAACCGGCACTGAACACGACTGGCTGACTAACTACTGACTGAGAGGCTGCCGTGCAGCGCCAACAGAGAAGGGAACAGCGAGCGCGAGAAGGAGGGATACATCGCGTATTCGCCGGGACGATTTTTCATCTCTCCGTTCTCCGTCGTGAGAAAGCCGCGGCGCGGCTGATGAATGAAAGCACAGCACGTCCTCCGAGGCGCGTGCTTTTCGCGCGAATTCGCCCACCGCCGTAACACGGAAACGACGAACACACGATCCGGAACGACGAACGACAGCACGACGAACCAGGCACGAAAACTACCCGCGCTGCGGCGCTGCCTAGCTCGCTCGTCCCTGCCCGACCTCGGCCGACCGCGCACGAACATGTACGAACGCGAGCGCCACGAGTCGAACACGTTCAATTTATCGGGCGCGCTTCCTCTTAACCCTTTGCGACTGTTCCTTTTTCCTTTTACGGTGGTGTTTTGAAGAACGTCTCAAACATTAATTGTTCGACTAAGAAGAATCGAATAGAGAGACGAGGTAAACTTACGGAGTAATATAGTAAATCATATAGTCGAATAGTTAGAGCAGTTATAGAGCATTTCTTTTTACTTGCAGTGTTTGCACGGTTCGTTTCTACGTGCTAACGAATGAAAAATTCAAGCAGAGAGATTGACGAGGTGAGATCATGGCTTAATTAGGTAAATATATGGTCAGACTGTCAAATACCTACTGTTTTCTTTTTGTAGTAGTTGAACGATTTGGTCAAGTGTCTCTGTGTGCTGTACGTGAGTGTGAGTGAGCAGATTAGAGGTTCATTATTAACAGGTAAGATTAGAGGTTAATTTGCCATATGAACTACTCAGTAATTGTATATTTGAAGTGAAAAGATCAATCAAACTTTGTGTGAAAGTGACAAATATTACTTGTGTGTTCATATACTGAAATTAGAAATTAGCGAAGAGTCGAACAGTTTAATTTTTAAAAAATTCATATAAATTAAGATTACACTGAAACAATAATTTAATTTAATCACTCTTATAGTATAGAAAATATCATATAATAAATTCTTTATAAAAATTTGAAAACATTTGCAATATTATCACATAAAATTCAAGGGACATTAAAATATTACTAATGTTTCTGCATGGAAATAAATGTAACAATAAAGTCAGCATAAAGTAATAAAGTATTGGATAATTCTAATAAATAAACATATATTACAGTCGCATGTCTTTTCAACAGTTTGAATTTTTCAGCTTTCTGTAATAACTAACGTAAACGTTTCCATTTTTCATTTTCATTTTCCATGTTTATTAGTTTATTTTCAAATAAATTCGTGTCCCGTATTTTATATTCCATTCATTTGATCCTTTAATGGAAACGGCAGCAAAATATAATTTCTCTTAAATAAACGACGTTTTCCTCTAATTTTCAACTCCTCACTTTTCCCTTAATTCATTTTCTTTGGCGGAAACTTCCGAAATAGAATTTGCTAATTTATCATGGCGTTCTTGACGTTCATCAATCACTTCGTTTCTGCATTCTCTATTTTAATAAATTTCGTTGAGAAATTCCTTTCTAAAGAGAAAAATTCTTCGCTTCGATAATTGCCAGACCGATGAGATATTTCAAACTGAACGAAGTAAAAATATCGCGAGTACAAACGTAGTCCTATGCCTTTCGAAGACCTTTAGTTTTTGTCCATATTTCTCGGACAATTTGGAATTATTTTCTTCACGCGAGCTCCTTCCAGTCCGCTTATTTCTGCAACAAATGGGGCGAAACAGGAACGAGCAAATAATGAGATAAAGAAATAAAGAAAAGTGCCATTGGCCGATTCGATATTTTCCATTTCATCGAATCCATCAACGAACATCAACAAAAAATATATCGGTGTCCTTTTGTTTTAGAAACATTCGAAAAATATAGAGAGAC